GACGAAGGCTCATCAAGCGTTGCCGGTGGAGACGAAGGTTCATCAAGTGTTGCTGGCGGAGACGAAGGCTCATCAAGCGTTGCCGGTGGAGACGAAGGCTCATCAAGTGTCGCTGGCGGAGACGAAGGCTCATCAAGCGTTGCCGGTGGAGACGAAGGCTCATCAAGCGTTGCCGGTGGAGACGAAGGCTCATCAAGCGTTGCCGGTGGAGACGAAGGCTCATCAAGCGTCGCTGGCGGAGACGAAGGCTCATCAAGCGTTACCGGTGGAGACGAAGGCTCATCAAGTGTCGCTGGCGGAGACGAAGGCTCATCAAGTGTTGCCGGTGGAGACGAAGGCTCATCAAGTGTCGCTGGCGGAGACGAAGGCTCATCAAGTGTTGCCGGTGGAGACGAAGGCTCATCAAGTGTCGCTGGCGGAGACGAAGGCTCATCAAGCGTTGCCGGTGGAGACGAAGGCTCATCAAGTGTCGCTGGCGGAGACGAAGGTTCATCTAGTATCGCCAGTGGCGAAGACTCCCAACCAGCATCACAGCCTGAAAGCGAAAGCCAAGTAGTTATTGTACCACAAGAAATTAGTGTTTCAGTGGAAGGACAAGCTGTTGTTGGTAGCACTCTTACTGCACATGTCACTCCATCTGAGGCCCGAGATGCTGTCGAATATCAATGGTATGCCGATAATCAACCAATATCAGGAGCTACAAAATCAACATATCAAATAACAGATGCAGATGAAGGAAAATCAATTCATGTTGTCGTTACTCTAAAATCTGGATTTCCACAATTTACAGGAAAACCAAGTTCAAAACCTACAAGCCAAGTTACTAAAAGTGGATGCGATTACAATGTATTAAATTGTGCCAGATGCAAAGCAGATGACAGTTCCTATTGTGAACAATGCAATGATGGTTATGGTCTTAGAGGAGGCTATTGCTCATTATGCGGAAATGATCTCTTCATTTCAACAACATCTCCTTGCAAGTATGATTGTTCTGCAATTGCAAATTGCAGAAGTTTCGGAAGTTCTTTCGACTATAGTTCTTGCACTGTTGAAAATGGCCAATTTTATTGCTTAGATTGCGAAAGTGACTATTATGAGAGTGATGATCATAAATCATGTATCAAGGCACCAGAAGAACCATTTGAATGCTCTTATATTCCTGGATGCACTCAATGCAATGAAACAGAACGTGAATGCTTAAAGTGCGATCATGAAAACCACTTTACTGAATATTATGGATACTGTACATGCATAGATAATTATAAATACCATGAAGGTAAATGCCTTGAAATTGTTGAATGTGATTCAGAATCAAATTGCTTAGTATGCTTAGGTCCAAATAAGATTTGTGTTCAATGTAAGGAAAAATTCGGATTGAAAAACGGAAAATGTTCAGAATGTGGAGAAGGATTATACAGATATTCAGATGAACCATGCTTAGTTACAAATTGTCCGTTTGATAACTGTGCAAAATGCACAGATTGGAATGATGCTGATGAAAACTCATGCAGAGAATGTAAAGAAGGATTTAATAAGTTTGATGATAGATGCATTAACACAACTCTCATTGATTGCCCTAACATTTTTGGATGCAGCAAATGCTACGCAGGTGATACAAGCTATTGCGTACAATGCAATTCAACTGAACACTTTACCAATTCTAGAGTTCATAGAGGTACCTGTGTTTGCGATATTGATCATGATTTCGTTGATAATAAGTGTGTCAGACCAAAAGGACCATATGTACCATTGCCTGTGAACAAGAGTGATATGGCTACAATTCCAGAAGGAGCATGGGATCCTAATGCACCAAGTGGTCCAGATGGAAAGAATTACACATTGATACATGGAGATTTAATCCAAGAAGGAGATAAAAATATTTATCATACTTTTAATTCAAGTGCAGGATATGTTGTAGTTCTACCTGAAGATGCTAGTAAAACATTCTATTTTGAAATTGAAGGTCGAGAAAAACCATTCACAGTACAAATACCACCAACTACTGTTGCTGATATTGAATGCAATTCTGCAACTCTTAATTTACCTCCAGAAAACAAGATTAACATCAACGGAGGCGGAGTAATTAATTTAAATCCAATTGGAGGTGGAGATAAACTTATTGTTAATAGCGTCAAAGTCAATCCTTCTTCGAATGAACTCATTTTGGATTCACCTGCTAACTTAACAATTGTAGATTTGGACATATCTGGTCACCAATCTGTCACAGGCCAAGATCCAGACAAAAACTTACAAACACTTTGCAAACTCGTTAAAATTGAAGCAGAATCGGTATTTACAGCCACAAACTTGAAATTTGAAGAAATTAAAGTTGGTTTACGTTCAATAATCAATATTGTTACTGATAATGTTGTTATTGATGATGCTCCAATTGAACTTTATCATTTGAAAAATAACTTCGGTAATCAAAGAGCTCCTCTCAGCTTCACTGGTAAAAAAGCACCGGGAGTTACAAAGGGAATTCGTATACTTCCATTAGACGAAGGAGAACCTGTACCAACTGAAAATGAAAACTTTACAGTTGCAGATTTTAACATTAATGACAATATTGATAATGCATCATATAATGCATGCATACAAATGAAAAAAGAATTCAATGGTGGTGAAGATTTCGAATCAGATAGAGCTGAATGTTATCAAGATGAAAAAGATGAAAAAGTTTGGAGATTAATTGCCACAAAGACTGTAAAAGAAAGTAAGAAAAAAGATAAAGGTTTATCAGGTGGTGCTATTGCAGGTATTGTTATTGCATGCATTGTCGTTGTTGCTGCCATTATTGCTCTTCTTGTTTACTTCCTCGTCATTAAGAAGAGAAATCAATCAACAACATCAACACAAGGTGATTCATCTATTGCTATATAAGGCTACTAATTAGATTTATTTTTTTATCAAAAAAAATAAAATTCTAAATTGTTAATAATAAATAAAACAATTTTCTTCAAATATGTTTGCAACTAAATTGCTGATTTTGATAACATAAAATTCTTTAATTTTCTTTGAAAAATCAAAACTTGGAAATTAAAGTGTCAATGTTGATCATATCAATTTAAATATTTTGATAAAAATGAAATCTCATTGAATAGAATCTAAAAATGCCAGAAAGTTAATAAAAACAAGATTTTAGAAAATGTTATTGAAATAATGCATTTCATCATTTGGTTCCTTTTTCTACATTTTTGCAAAATAGGAATCCTTGTATCTTTTTTAAATATTTTTACAAAGTATTTCATTTGTTTTTAATATAGTACAAAAATATCTTCAAATAATTGTACCATTTTGAAATTTTGGTTTTAAAAACAACCATTAGTACTGTATTTTGAATTTGTTTTGTCAAAATATTTGGTTCAAACTTGACATTTGACATTTTGAGCATCAGATTCTGCAATAAAAAATGTATTATTATCATCGACGATTTCATTATTCTTTCTATTTAAGAAGATGACTTTAGATACTATTAGATCAAGTTTTAGCAACCCCTAAAATTTGGAAAATATACCAAAAAGAGATATTTATTATATACACCAGGTTCTCTAAATCTTGTAACTTTTGTTCAGATATTTTGGTTAACAAAAATATTTTTCTTGTTAACATTTTTTCTTGTTAACAAAGGGCAAAAGAATTCATTTCTCCAATGAAGCACATCCGCAAGAGATCGACGCCCAAAAAAGTACAACATCGAATTCACATCTCCAATGAAGCACACCCGCAAAAGATGCGAAATTTAGAAGAGATATGATTTTGAATGTAATTGAAAGATAGGGTTTTAACATAATTAAATGAATATCAAATGAAATTACATTAGCAGAATATAGAAAATTTCTTTTTTGTTTTTATCTAAAACTATATCTTTCAAAAGTTTATCAACAAATTCACAATAATCGTACTTGCACAAGTTGCAAAATGAAGATTCACCAGTAAATTCGTTATTTAAAAAGGCGAAACTATAATATTTGAGACATTGATTGATTGTATAATGCGAATTTTCTTCATCATTTTGCATGAAGTTGTTTGTGAAGTAATTAGCAATGTCGTTGTGGTGGCACTTGATTGATTCATAAAAGACTTGCTTGCATGACCTATCATCTAATTTAGCATGATTGTCTTCGAGAAAGCGAATCATTTCTGCATTTTGGCCATGAATAGCCAAAGGCCACAACGATGGCGTTAATTCAACACCTTCAAATCTCAAATGGTTAAATATTTGAATTGAGCCAAAAAAATAAAGCATATTCAATCAATGAAATTCCACCATCTTCTTTACTACCTTGTTTTTTAAGTAAAAAAGAATTTGTTTCATAAATTGATGGTCGAATTTTTGAGTTAAGTGAAACACCATTTCGAGTAACGTGCAAAACAAATTCTGTAATCATGCCATTTCGAATCAATTCACAGATTTGGCTGTCATTTTCGCCTTGCTTTCGTTTTTCATAAAAGTTTTCCGGCAATTCTTTCTTTATCTATTCAACCCACTCCTTTTTCTTTGGGAACCATTTTTCACTGAGGATATTTGGCTGCTATGTATTTGTCTGTGTTTGCAATTTTTTTAGCTATATATTTATCAAAAACTATTAGTTGTTGTTCAATGAAAAATGAATAAAAAATAATTATTTTAATATCTCAAATTTATTCAATTTTTTTCACTAAATTTATTCAATTATTTTGAAAGAATTTTTTCAAATATTTTTGAAAGAATTCTTTCAATTTTTTTGAATAGTTTTTTAAAAAATATTAAAATGCAAATCTATACTTTATTATTCATACTTATGAACTATTTTTAGAATATTAATTTATAGCAATATATGATCCATCTAATCATATAAAAATTAGTCAAAAATGCTAGTGAGCCAACATATTTCTCATGAAAAGTTACAATAAAAAGATTAGAAATAATGTAATGATTTAAATGCAAAACACATACAAAACATAATTAGCTGTTTTATATTTTTTAAAGAAAAAATAAAAAAGAAATAATAAAATAGAAAGGGACAATAGTCTAAAGGTTAGGATTTAAGACTGTCACTCTTAAGGTCCGGGTTCGATTCCCGGTTGGCCCGTTTTTTGGATTTTTTTGTAGATTAAATTTTTAATTGATAATGAATGAATCAATCCGAAAATAAGCATTTCAAAAATGAGAATAAAACAGAGAAATGGAGAGAAAGCATTAAAATGATGTTTTTGATTAGATTAGATTAGATTTGCTAACAGAATATATGAGGTCAAAAAGTTTTCTTATTTAGGTAAATTTTTCATCGTTAAAGGTCAAAATTTCAAAATTTTTTTTTTAGGGTGTAGTTTATTTTTCAATATCTCAGCATCTACTTTATGCTAAAAAGTTTTGTTCATATATTTATGATCAGTATCACTTGTATATTATTTTTTTGTTTTGCAAATATTAGTTTTTTTGAAAATACTAATATCACAATATCTAATTACTCCTTTTTTAAAATTCGAATATGAGTAAAAAATTAAAATATTTAGATCATATTTTTATAAATACTCTTATTTTTCCAGTTCATTCTATATCAGGCCCGATGATCTATTCCATTTTAAATTTGAATGAAAAGATATTCAATCGTAAAAAATCTCGAATAATAGAGATATTGGTTATTCCATCCGTAACTTTTTATTCTATAGCATAGATATTATATGGCTTAATTTTAATTGGAAAATATTTCGAATTGAATGACTACATACATTTTGAAATTTCTATACATTTTCGAGTGATTTCAAAATGTATGTAGTCACTCAATTTGAAACAAATTAATTCTTTCTAACTTGAATCTGATGTAATAAATAGAGACTTAAAAAGTTATGGATGGAATAAGAAATATCTCTATTATTCGAGATTTTTTGCAATTGAACAAAATTGTTTAGAAAAAAAAGAAATATATCTCCTGAACATTTTAAGAAAAAATGAAAAAAACATTTTCATATATAAAATTATGATATAAATATTTTATTTTTTTACTCATATTCTAATTTTAAAAAAAGAAGTTATTACTTATTGTGATATCAACATATCCTATAAAACGAATTTCAACACAACAAAAAAATAATATATAAGTGATACTGATTATAAATTTATGAACAAAACTTTTTGGCATAAAGTAGATGTTGAGATATTGAAAATAAACTACACCCTTAAGGGAGTAGTCCTGCATTTGATAATTATAAATCACTTTTTGATGTTGAGATATAAATAATCCTGCATTTGATAATTATAAATATATATAAATTATTTTTTTATCTCTTTTAAACATGGAGAAAATACAATTTGTTTACTATCGCTAAAATATGAAATTTTGAATAAAAAATGTAAAATGGACTACTCCCTTAAAAAAAAAATGTTCTAATTTTGAAATTATACAAGAAAAAAAAATCAATAGACAGCACTAAAGACACTTAAGCTTCACTCAAAAAGTGGCGTCACTAATGTTATAAAAAAATTAATCTGAATTTTTTATTTTGTTTTGATTTATATGAATCATATTTAATGTCATTTGTTTAAAATAACTATACATTGATGTAATAAATGGTAAATATTTTTTATTTCATAATTGTTAAATATTTATGTAGATAAATGTAATTTTTCATCTAAATGTACAATTAATTATTTCTTCTCAATTTTTTGACATTTAACAAACCGTTGAACTATTTAATTTTTTGATTTCATTTTTTTTTTAAACCCAAATGTCAGACGTTTACTGTCAGTATTGTGGGGCAAACTCAACTAATGCCAAATCTTTATCTAATGGAAGCTGCTCTAAAAGCCCTACCCATCACCATGTTCTCTATGAAGGCTCTAAAAAAAAAAGAGTACTTTTGTAAGTACTGCGGAGCAAAGTATTATACAATTCTGTCAATGACATCTGGAGCATGCTCAAACAGCCCAAACGGCCACCACATCCCATATGAAGGTGCAGCAAAAAATAGCTACAAGTGTAAATATTGTGGATCAAGCTCTTATACACTGCAGACATTGACATCAGGTAGTTGTGCAAAAAGTCCAAATAAACATCACCAACCAGCTTAATAAAAAAATTACATCATTTTTTAAAAAAGTAATTTCAAAAAATTAACTTCTTTTTTTGAATTAATTCTTATCTTTTGGAATTTGATAAAGTAAATAAGATTGGAAGCAAATTTCATCCAATTTAATTGAAATATTGAATTAGGTAATTATATTGATATATCTTTTGTTGATATATAGAAAAAAAAAAGGCTTTCAAATCGTTTTATTCATCAATAACTTTTGATTTAATATATATGATAAATATGAAAAATTAAAAAACACAAAATTAAAAATATCAAATATGTTTCTTATTAAAATTTATCAAATATAATTTTATATTTCTGCATTGAACCAATAATATAAATAGAAACAAAATATTATAATTTTTTAAAAACATTCATTCTCAAAGATTTCAAGCAAAAAACAAGACAAACTTTTTCACTTTTATTTGAAATTGATTTATAATAACATCGTGCTAATTTAATAAAAATTGTTTTTTTTTTATACACAGCTATTAATAAAAAATATGAAATAAAAAGATATGAAATTATTTTTTATATTTTATTAATCATATAAAATGATTTTTATGATTATTATTATTTATAGTTTTCTATAAATGATTATATTTAGGATGAGTCATAAAATTAATAAGAAACAGAAAAATACCATTCCAAATGATGCAATTCTCAATCATTAAATTGATCAGAATTAACAAATTATGAAGAACATTTTTAAATTTCACATTTATAACTGTATTGCAATGTAAATATCTTATTAAATATGAAATATTTTAATTTTAAGATATTAATAATATCATGAAACAAAAATTAGTATAAATATAATGCAGTGATTATGATATATACAATTTTGATCCTCTGATTGGATTTATATAATATTCATTGGCGTTATAATATAAAAAATCGATTTTTTCATACTAATTGAAGCAAAATTGCATATTTTTTGTATAAAAGATAGATTCATAGACTATCTCATAAGTAAATTACTCAATTATTCAATTACTTTTCCGGTTTTCACTCAGTTATCTAATTTTGTGAACTGTAAGGATTCATTCGCCAGCCTTGCTTTACATCTGCTTAACAAAAATTTTTTCGCCTTTTTTGCTCACATAATCTACTGTTTGGAACAGGAAGAAAACAATTCTGACATTCTCTTTATCGTGACAGATTAAAGTGATAAGCGAATCTGCGATTACACTTGAAATTTTCATCATTCCAATTCTCAAAACCTCAGATTTGTTTTTGACCTCTTTAGAAACATATCTTTTATCTTTTTGGATAGCAGGTTTTGAAAAAAGCACTTGTCTTTTTGTGATTTGACGAATTTTATAATTACCTTAGGTGTATCCATGTGCTTAATTTTATTTTCAAAATCGTCTTTTTTTCAGAGTCGTTAAAAAAAAATCCAATTTGATAATAATATAATCATTTTGAGAAGAAACAAAATCATATATGTAAATAAAAGATAGTTAAAAGTAAGGGAGATTGGTCTAAAGGTAGGGCACGCGCTCTGGGAGTGTGATGATCTAGGTTCGAATCCTTGGTCTCCCATTTTTTTGTTTTTATTTATTTTTTTTAGTTCTATTCAAAATATACTCATAAAAGAATGGCATTATATAATCTATATTTTAAAGATTTCATTAAAAATGAAAGTTAAATTTGAGATGCAAGGGCAAGATAAAATAGAGCCTTATACGGAGTAAAAAACCTATATTTTAGATGTATTTTTGGTATTTTATGAATAAAATAAATAAGGATAGTTTTTTTAATTAAAAAGATCATCAAATACACATCCAATTTCTAATGTTTCTTCTTCTTCTTGTCCTTGCTCTTGCTCTTCTCCTTCTTATTTTTCTTTTGATATTGATAATTCTTTTTCTCTTGATTCAGAATTTGAAACAGCTGTTAATTTAGATTTACCGTTTGAAATAACTTCTTCTATATCTTTTCCTTCTAATTTATTAATAATTTCTTCTGCTTTTTTATTATCAATTTCAATTTCAACACTTTCAATTATTCTTTTGATATCTTTGCTTGTAATTCTGATATCAATTATTTATAGGCAAAACAAACTTGATAATACTGCTAACAACTGTATTAACAAAAATTAATAAAAAATCACATCAAAAACGATCAAATTGAACGTTTGTGTTTTTTTTTTGAAAAAAGGATTGAGTGAATTAATAATGAAAAAATTAAATATATATATATATATATAAACATAATTTCAATAATGAAAAAACAATTAATTAAAGTAAGGGAGATTGGTCTAAAGGTAGGGCACGCGCTCTGGGAGTGTGATGATCTAGGTTCGAATCCTGGGTCTCCCATTTTTTTGTTTTTATTTCCCAAATTTTCACAAACATATAACATTATATCGCTTTTATTGTTTTTAGGAAATCAAATTTTCGCTGTTCATTCTTTCTCAAGCATTTACAAAATTATTCTAAAAACTGGACCTCTCAATTTATTTGTGGGAAATTCAAAATATTATTTTTTAATTTGATAACATTATTTTCTATTTCAGAGGTCCTGTTTTTGGAACTTTCAAAAATTAAATATATATTGAAAAATTGAATAGTTTTTTATATAAAAAATTCAATATATTTGAATTGTGAAAGAAAATTGAATAAAAAATTGCTATGGATTCATTATTTCATTATCGGTACAATTCTCTTCTTTTTCCTCTTTTTCCTCTTCTTCTTCTTCAAATTCTACATATTCTTCTTCATTTTCATTATTTCTTAAATATTCTATGATACTTTCAAGTTCAAATTGGTGGTGAACTATTCATCTGATTCACTTGATTAAAAGTATCTATGCTGCTAATTGATGGTGAAATTGGAGCTTGATGCTGTAAATTCTGTATATTTTGATTATCTTCGATCTCAGTTGTTTGGTTTTGTGATCAAGTAGAATGATCAGATTTACCATAATTATCATCTTGGTTTAAGGATTTGTCGGAATATTAATCTTGATCACTACATAATTTTTGATTATCTTTGATCTTAATTGTTTGTTTTCG